AATTAGAATATATTATATCATTGATTACAATCCAGAGAAGAGGCCCTACCTGTTGCTAGCATCGTCGACCTGCTGTTCGTGAGAATATTGTTTCGGTATAATTTAGCGCAGCAAACGCGTGCCACAATGAAGCGGATCGAGGGTGAGCGCCAGATCAATAAGATACAGCGCACAGGCACGTGTTGTGACAATACTTAACTCAAACGACTCACCAACAGGCATAATCATGCCTCGTTTACATGAAGATCGAACAAAATGAGCGTTTACATGATAATATTAAAGATAACTACAGTCCAGCGAGGTGATATATCATGATCGTCGCGAAGTCTTGTGTATATAATGGTCACTTCATTGTATGCAATCCAGGATCAGGAATTATTCTGCACCCTTCTGTACAGACATATCATCCGTTGTCAAAGCAATCCGTGTCTTAAGACCATGATAACTAGAGTTACCGTCAGTAGAAAAAACTTAGTACAATAGAGAATCTATGAATTTGAAGATCCCGACGATGAGATGATGATTTTCTCATTAATTTTTACATTGGTTGCAAGCAGAAGTAGTTTATAAGGTTAAAGAGCCTATTGTGTGTGAGATGTTAGGATTGGTATGGAAGATGCGTGCAGCCTCCCCGGCGCCGGGCGGTGAGAGGGGCGCGCGTATACGAGGCTCCAGCTGGCGGAGGAGCGACCACCTGGGCGCGCCAGATGACGCGGCGCGTGTCTCGGACCGTCAACAAATTAGGCGCTCAAGAGATGGAACTACAACACCCAATAGTTTGGGGAGCTCTGCAATCTTCTGGTCGAGTGAAAACAGCAATAAACCAACGCTATCTTGGTACTATTATTCTTTCTCTTTCAATAAACACGGAAATATCGAATCCCGAAAATCAGAAACTTGTCTTGAAATACTCGTAGTTCAACGTACACACCACCAATCCACCATGTGTCATTAAATGTCGTTCGTGCTCTCCCTCGCCCGCTAGATTTTATCAGCTAGTAATGCTCACATGCACGCATCTTGTTCATGACCGTGACATGATGACGTGCGTAGATACACGTACATCAGTTCCTACTGAAGGCCGTGACGTCAAGGCTATGCAAGGCACTGCTGCGACTCTCACCAGTTATGCAATCCACCAATAACCAAGTGAAATAATTTGCTGCGATTTCTCTTGTCAATCGTCGGTTTACTTATCAACTCAATAAAAAATACCACAATAAAGGCGACGAAAAGGATATAAACTGATGAAGCTATATATATATACAATACAGTAATGAGATAAAGTATATACCTCTCACGATCTACGTGAATTTGAGCGGTACTTGTGGTTTATTCTTCAAGTGAGTAAAACATGACACCTAATTAGGCATCGGAGCGAGGACTTGCTGTGAGTGCAGGAGCACAGCCACGTAAACAATAATTAGAAATCAATTATGCATCAAATAACAATTTATCAACATTCTAATAATAAACTGAGTAAACTTGTGGTTACATCATTTTTGCATAAATTTTCCATCAGTTGCTATACCAATTAGTAACAATTAAATGCTATCATAAAATCCATTTTCGCATACATTTCTGCAACGTTTTCGAAGAGCTGATAATTAAGAAAGTAATGAATATCGTTCAGAGTAATGTTCATTAAGAAGATAATGAACACTAAACTGCCACTTGCGATATTTATGGGGAGCTGCGCTAGACTAGACCCGCCTGGTCGAGTTTTTAGCCTCCAATCCTCAGGGGGGCATGGGCGGTGTGATATAATTGTTTTATATTAGCAGAAAATATAGCGCATAAATAATTTCTAATCTTTTTATGGGGAAATTTTAATAGTAATATCAGTTTTAGTAGCTCGAATTGGTTGTTTCTCCACATAGTTCAATTTCGCCCGCCTTGTGTCGTCGTGTCCGTCTTGTTGGCGCCTACAGACCTCATCTTTACTGGTGGCAGATATCTAGCGTAACTTAGTTCTTCTATATACAGTAAAGGAAAATAGAACCATATTGTTAGCAGTGAAATATATAGGAATATTATTAGAGCTTCCTAAATACAGGACTTAGAATAAGAGCATTCAAAAAGTCATTGCGACAGGATCAGGCTTTTAGTGAGATCAATGCGACTCGAGCGCGTTATTTAACTCTGAGCTGTTCATGCAGAGCTGGTACGTGATCAAGCAGATATAAACAACATCCATTCAGAGCATGATTAACTCTATTGTACAAGCATTTCTTTCCCTGATTGTGGTCAAATATTACCGAAAACCATTCAAGGTGTGATTATTGATTTGAAATGGAAAGTTCAAGGGGAAAAAGCAAAACAATAGGTTATAGGCTCGTGCGTTGAAGGCTAAAATTTAATGAACAAAAATTGCACATTCGGCAGTATATACAGCGGCAGCACAATAAAGTAACGCAGCAGTCATAACAGCTCTGCAGAGGCAATATCTAACGCTGCTATGCAAGTAACATAAATAAATTTGTCACTAAAGCAGCAATAGACGAGGATAATTTTGGCAGCACGGCGACTATTTGACGGCATTGTAGGCAGCAGCAGCAGCAGCAGCAGCAGCAGCTAGCGGGTGACACCTGAACGGTTCCCACGGTACTCGATAGGATGGCGGCGAGGGAGGGGTGCTCCATGGCGGGAGGGGTGCTCCATGGCGGGAGGGGTGTTCAAGGGAGAGAGGAAGAGGGCAAATAGTAAGAAATAAGAAGCACCAGGAGGGAGAGTGAACGAAATTAAAGACAACGCAACGCTTCTTGTGAGCAGCAGTAGCAGCAGCAGCCGTCTCCGATTGCGTCATTTATATACGGGCTACGTAAGTTCGCGACGGCCGACCTGTACGCTAATCACACACACTGTGAACATCTGAGTGATCGAATGTGTCAGGAGAAAGGCTATCAATTATTTAAATGCTTAAAATACTTACCAGCTTTTTTTACGATTCAGTTATACTTGTTTTCCACAAATCTACAAGTATTATAACAATAAGCTCTAAATACCATGTGAAGATAACGTAAACGCTGTTGAGCAGCAGTTCAGTTTGTCAGGCGTAAACCAGTCTTCAGAAAAAAGCAGCTAACCCCTATATGTAGTTTAAATTAACACTAACATTACATTGGACTCCAAAGAAATGACTTCATTTACTGCAGATGCCAGTAGATAGAGAATACATATAGAAGTTGTATAACGCCCGCCGCCTTGCGAACATCTTTATGGTAACCAATAGGAAATGTTTTCTATAGTAGAAACAATCATGTTTTTTGCAGTTAACATGCAAAAAAAAACTTGTCTTATTTATTTTGCCGATATAAATAGTAACAAAAAATATTCCATGACGACAAAAATTCATGCAGACAGCATAAATCCTGTAGATCGTTGGTCGAATTAACGGTAACATGCGATTCTTTCGCTAACAGTTCTGTTAGTAACAGTTCTGTTAGTTGGTACGGTAAGTCCTAAAAAGTTAAAAAATGTAAATGCAGCAGATTAAAGCATCTGCGTTCCAGAATCTCATAATAATAAGAAATCGTTTAGTCTTTTATGATTGGCAAGACCGCCTTCTTTACCATACGCGCCTTCTATAAAAAATTAACTATAGGTACGCCACGATGATCTTTTATACCATGAGAGACTGCTATGTACTTATTGCCCTAGGATAAATATACGCGCCTTCAATTAAAAGCTATAGGTACGCGGCGATAATCTTATATATCATGAGAGGTGTAAGGTACTTGCTGCCCTAGGATAAATAGGATTGCAAGAAGTTGAGGATGGGCAGGGCCTGTAATCAATGAGACCACGACAAGAAGCTCTCAAGAGACAAGACTGCACAGCACCTGACGCTCTAGATAAGAGATAAGAAGCCACGCATACGTATAATGTAAGTGCCGAACATATCAGCAGAGAGCGCGTGCTCGGACAAACTTCTCGATACAGCCGACTTGAAGTTTGGTGCTGATGTAGAGCCTTAATATGAAGTAAATGATCAAATGATCTAAACTTACCACAATTATTACATTCAGACTATATAGACACGAATATACAAACAATCGATTTGCTCACAAGCACAAGGAAGTAGAACAGGTAGAGACTACATTAATTGGAAGACAAGGCGTCCTGAATAATAAAAATAATTAAAACTGTAATACATGCAAACAGGTCTTCTGTGCATGCTGATTAGATTTGACATTTCGAAGAAGTATTGGACAAATATTTATGTATTCAACATTCATGCACAAATGAGATGTTTTCTCTTGGATAATCACCAAACCTATCTAGAAATTTTATCGGTCAACACATCACCTAATATATCAATGTAGAAAAACTTAAAAGAAACACAGTAACAAGAACTCACCATCGTCCTTAAAGGCAGCATTTAAAATCAGACAATTATCAAAGGTCTGGCATAGGCAGGTAAAGGCGTTATAACCAAATAATATCACAGTAATTTGGTTACACATTTATTCTTACGTTGGACACTGCCTATTATGTCGGTATATGGTCAGGCCGTCGCTGAACATTTCGCCCAACACTTAGCAGGTTATGTTTCTTTGTAAGTATTCGAAGTCATATCGTAATACAATAACTTTTCCTCCCTCGAGCTAAAAATGATCTTGATAAATATATTTTCACTCTAATGAGACCAAGTCTATCGGAGAATTAAAATACCTACTAACATTGGGAAAAGTATTAAATGTATAGGTCGAATTAAATCATTTGACGAGAAAATAGCACGATTTCAGTTGGATTGAGTTGAATAATATTTCTTTGATCAAAATCATGAAACTTTGAAGAAAAGTTGTCTTCAAGCGATGAAATCAGAGCGTTGAACAACAATCAATCAGACGAGGCCGCCATAACCTAGCGAGCTTTGCAATCTAAAAATTAGACTTTTAACGCGCGGATTATATACAGTGCATTTTGCGACATAACATAACACAGGAAAGCTCCAGAATGATATAGCAGAAGTTAGGAGTACGTTGAAGTGGACTCACCAGACTTTGGGAGCGTGTGGGACTGCTGCTGGTGAAGGTGGTGTTGCAGCTGAGGGGCGGGGGCGGTGAGGTGGTGGTAGTGTGGGTGGTGAGGTTGGTGAGTGGGTCGTGGTGACGGAGCTTGTGATAAATCTACAGGCCTGTGACCTAAACTTTGGTGGTGAGAGGAAGGAGGGTTGTGTTGTGAGTTGGGAGCAGAGTGGTGCTGTGGGTCCAAGTGTTGGTGATGAGGAGGAGGGTTGGGGGTGTTGCTGTGGTGCAGTTGTTGGTGAGGCAGGTCTTGGTAGCTCGAGACTGGAGTGCTTAACGCAGGCAGGCCACTGAGACCTGTCATAACCTCGCCGCCCTGCGCAGAAATCGTATATATTCAGAATAGAAGAAATGCAGTCAGCAAATAGTACATACCTGGCAACTTCTGAGGTCTAACACGTAAAATGAACACAGTTAAATGAGCATGAGATAAGCATCTATGAAATAAAATCTATAATGGGCGAATATGAAAGGGCTGAACTGTACACCATTTTTTGAGAAAGGAACTATCATACAGACGGCCGTGCGTGGCTAGGGAGGGATACAATGAAGAGAGAAGTGACTAGTTAAGAAGTGCTACACTCACAGCAGCATAGTAAGGGTGCTGTATAGCAAGACACAGCAGCATAGTAAGGGTGCTGTATAACAAGACACAGCAGCATAGTAAGGATGCTGTATAACAAGACACAGCAGCATAGTAAGGGTGCTGTATAGCAAGACACTCACAGCAGCATAGTAAGGGTGCTGTATAGCAAGCTTGACACTCACAGCAGCATAGTAAGGGTGCTGTATAGCAAGACACTCACAGCAGCATAGTAAGGGTGCTGTATAGCAAGACACTCACAGCAGCATAGTAAGGATGCTGTATAATAAGACACTCACAGCAGCATAGTAAGGGTGCTGTGGCACGAGGGGAGATGACACAGAGCTGTAGGGGGAGCCCAGGCCTTCTGATGAACTCGCCCACTCCTCAGCCTGCCTGTTGTCCACACCATTGAACGTGTAGCCGTTCTGAGGGAGCAACAACACACATGTGTTAGCGGTGACAAGTTTGTCCCACGCAACAACAACAACAACAACACACATTACAATATAAATGTTGATGACAATTGAACGATGGTTATAATGAGCCAGCGTGATGATAGGAACGATTTAAATAAAATACCGGTAATTCGTGAACGTTGGCAGGCATGACGCAAACGCATATTCGAGCGGCCAGCACCTTGATTGAATCAGAATTGGTAAACCAAGATCACAGTGCGCGGCCTGACTACGATGAATAGAAAGAACGATCGCATCGTAAGCGTGTTACGTGCGTGATAATTAAAATACATAATTATTTATTTAACAGATATATAGACGTCCGCTGGTTGCAAGTTCAACCATGAAAACAAATACATACTGGATATAGAAATATAATCACAACATCATACAAATTCAGCGCGCAGATGATCAAAAATTTAATTCACTTGCATTAATAGAAATCCCTTTAACCAGTAGCGTTAAAAATAAAGATTAAACCACGTCAGTGAGTTATCAATGCGTTAATATAAGTGGGTCAAAAAGAGTGAGCGATGAAATGAAAGCACATAGGCTCAAAGAATTAAAATTGGGAAGAGAACAAACAGGACCGATAGCGACAAATCTAACTTATCTAAGATATTGTATGGAATGCGCGAATCTGCAGTATAGCTTCTTAATACAAAATAGGAGAGAAATAGAGCTCAAACCGCAGACATATCCTAAAAATGTTAATATCAAAATCAGTGACACGACACCGAATAAAGAGGGAGAGGGAGAGAGAGAGGCAGCGAGGGCGCATGGAAGAGAGGGAGATGACAGAGGGTGGCATGAGCCTGCTGCTGCTGCTTGTCGCAGAGAAGAGAGCCAGGGACGCCAGGTGCAGAGGTTCCCAGAGCTCTCGACTGGGGCGCCGCTATATCCTCTTCAAGACACTCGCTACTCCCTCACTAACTTGTCCTAATGCCACAGCCAAGTCTCCGCCGACTAATCTCTGCTTATCTCCTCACAAATAAAAGACGATGATTAGGTCAACTTTGTGCCTTAATAAGACACCAATTCAACAGACCACACTTAATGACTTCAGACTTAGTACAGTATAAATTAGCCAGCCTGTAGAGCATTGGGGAAAGAACGACGACGAAGAGAATTTTTTTCTCAAAGACCTAGACGCACTTTGCACAAATAGCTCGACAAATCTGATACTTAAGTGATGACGCGCCTGCAACCTTTGTGATGAATGTAAATAAAGAGAAAGAGGAAAGTGACTAAAAACCCATTTTGAATATTTTTGATTCCGATATCGAGACAATTCTCATTTAATTCATCAACTGTCGGGAAAAATTTCATCTTCAAACTAAGGCAATTTGAAAGTGTCCTTAGCAAGCTCAAGCGGTAACCCAAACGAAGGTAAATACAACAAAGCAGGGTCAGAAATTGCAAAAATCTCCAAAATTTTCAATTGTCACAGAAGATAAACTGATGGTAATATGTTAATTATACGAAGCATGCAGCCCATGTATGAACATGAGCTTTTTTTGTCCGCACTTAATACGTTCCATAACTAATTTTTCCAAGTACGATACCGTATCAGCAAATGAGACTGTCATCAACCTGTTTGTAAAGAATGTCCGTTTAATGCAGGCAGTAAAGCAGCTATACTCGTTTATGAAAAAAGAGAGTACAGGTGTCACGTATTTGTAGATTTCACTATATAATTGACTCACATAAAATTTGCACAAAATATGCTAAATAAATTTAGAAATGATCAACTCACGGTTTTGGGCAAGGTCTTCAGATGACAATCCAGTGTGAATGCAGTGTTTCCATTACAATCTTCACACAATATTGGTAGTAACTCTAAGTTAATATTAATAATTAAAATATTTAATTATTTTCAGCGTGGGTTATCATTGAAATCGTGGCAGCGCATGAAAAGAAACAAGAAAATACAAACAAGAAGGCGACGATATGTAAGAATTCGGTCAAACGATAAAACATTACTCAAAAATGCCTTTAGAAAATAAGCCAGAGCCTATCATGCAGTTACGCGCTAGTATATCGTGCATTGGGTACAGATAAAGAGTCGAAGGAAAATATGATACGCAGAAAAACTGATGACGCCGTGTAACCCATATTAACGTTACATATTATACTAACGAAGGATAGACAGAAGACTGGCTTGCTATATGACCGCTTCCTATAAGCAAACTCCATCTCGGACAGTTAAACTGCTGCTAAACAAGCAAACAAATTAATAGAGATTATCAAATGTTCTATTTCGTATCGATCGTTCGAGTATTTCGTAAACTTTGAAACTATTTTTCGATGGAATTATGTTAATGCTAATTTGAAGAAATAACTGAGACGACTCAAGGTAAGTGTATGGAATATGCCATATCAACGACACGTATGGGCTGACACGTATGGGCTGAGCGAGTGTTGAGCTACAGGTCTAGCGAGCGCGTGACTGGACACGTTGTTCCAGGAGCGGCAGTCGAGCGCGGTATGGCAGCGATCCTACACAGCGAAGGATGCTGCGACTGTTGCTCTGCCAGCAGCTGCACTGCATGACCCGCCCTAAAATCCTGTGCTGCCAAGCAGGAACATACAAATTAGTCGGGGGAAAATTCCCAACCGGGTATTTTAACCTTTATAAACAGTGGCGTTCTTCGAGTGGCGTTCTTCGGCAGTGACGAGTGGCGTTCTTCGGCAAGCTTTGTGAAAACGCTCGTACATTCAAAAGTTTAGAGGTAGGTACCCAATCTTTATTATAATTTTGTTCGCTCGATTGCATAGACGTTAAGGACAATTAAAGCTATACTGGAATGAGATGGTCTAAGGAAGGAATTCTAAATCTTTACAATAGCCAAGCTTCAAGGCGAGCGAACGAACAAGTATATTTTATAAATCAACAACGTAAGCTCGTTCATTTCTTCTGAAGTTTACGCAGTACGCACATCAAGTTACCTACTTTATCATCCAGCATAAAATTATAGACCTCCTCTTTAGACGATATATTCATCATTTCTATTCATCTATTGCAACAACTCCACAATGCTACGAACCAATCAACCCGCACATAACTAAATCGAAGCTTAATCGGTACCTAGCTAGTTAAAAAAATCAAGTGCTTGGTTAAAGATGGCAAATGATACATACACTATATTTTCATTGTGAAACGAATTGAGAATTATTCGATGGGCAAGATGTAGAAGAGGTCGGATGTTTAAAAGATCAGATGTTCAAGATATTAATTCTTCGTAGCATGGTTCCTCCGCCCAGTCGCCCGTCACAGGAGTGATCCTTCCTTTAACCTGGCACACGAAGCTCCGCCTCGCTTCCTGAGGCTGGCATGCCTCAAGATATCATCAACAAGAAGAAGAGAAAGGGGGCTTGTGACCTCTGAGGTCGCAGGTCACAAGGTCACGCCGCGCAAGAACCTCCGCCCGCTCCTTCTGCCCTGCGCACCGCGCTTCTGTAGCCCCGCGCTGCCTTAGCTAAAATCATGGCGGAACACCAACGTCAGAACGTTAAGCACTTAGTGGCTAACTACATGGCGCATCACCAACGTCAGAACGTTAAGCATTTAGTGGCTAACTACATGGCGCATCTTGAGTTAAATGCCTAATGTCGCGGACGTATCGTGAAATTTTCTATTGTCTCAGCAGAGTCCTGCAATTATGAGCTGATTCTTATTTTAATGGATTTGAATTTTCATTCCATCCAAAAGAGTAGAGTCAAAAATAAATCCCAAACTCTCCGCATCGTTCACTATCATTTAAGTTGAACACGTTTTCAAACTAAGAAAAGGGTCAAAGGTTCACACTATACATCCCACACGGCCTAGTCTCCAACGGAATGTCACAAGTGGTCGGTAAATAGCCAATGATCTCAACAATTGAGCGTTCATAATGTTATACAGTTAGTTCAGTGGCCGCATGCAGTTGCTAGATGATGATATACAAATAAACAACAACAGGATCAGCGTCAGTACGAACTGCAGCAAAAAAAACAACTGTACACAATATATTATGCTAGCACGTCTACAGAGAAGTATTTATAGAGAAGGAGGCAGTGGTGACCCGACAGGAAGAGGATGGCTCATTATATGCCACAAGATCAACACTTTTGGTATGAGGAGGCCACGACCTTCTCACCATCACAGCTCAATATGGTCCATAAGCTCTGCAGATAAAACCATGCACCGCTAGAACTCTACCTCAACAGCATCTTATCTGCCAGTTCGGGACGATCATTTTTTAACGACTAAAACCGAACAATAGCAATAATTTAGTTACAAATTACAGATTTAATTCAAAATAAATATTTTAGTATTAATTATATCTAAATTGATCTTTTAGTCAATAGGATTTTATAAACTCTCATAAATTAAAGAAGCCCCTGACATAACTATTGCGCGAGTATTTCGGTAAACTCATACCTTCATGCGTAGAGTCCCACACGCATGCCTCATTGGCGTATTCAAGATACTTCACACCCTACCAATACGCTACCCGCGAAGTCTATCGCAACCGTCTCGATAATTCCACCGCAATTACGTCTGATGGTCCACGACACGAGATAAAAAGACGCAGTTCATGATCTTTCACCTCAATCACTGTTAGCTTATTAATGCGGGACTTCGACATCTCCGACACAAAACTTATCAGTAATTGAGGTGGCAATCAGACTAAGAGTATTATTGACTTCCAAGAGATGAATATTCAGAAATAGGACGCCCTAAAATGTGATGAATGCAGTTGCTGAAGTAAGTTTTACCAAATAATATAAAATATTAGCACTCGCCGCACCTAGAGCAGCATGAATAAAATGATTGAAGAAGGTGCAGAAGTATAGTAGTAGCTTGGAACGAATATATTGGTAGATAGCTGATGATAGTAAAACTTGCGTACATGTGAAGACAGCACAGACAGCTGTAGCGTATGTACATGTGAAGACAGCACAAACAGCTGTATCGTAAGTACATG